CTCCCACAGGGACAGGGCTCTTGGTGTCCCCCATCTCACTGGGCACAACTCTTGGTGTCCCCCATCATCCCACAGCTGATCTGGTCCTTGGCACCCCCCACTCCCCTACTGGGGACACAGCCCTCACTGTGCCCCGTGGAGACAGTACTGTGTCACCTCCTCAGGGACTACGGTCCTTGGCATCCCTTGTCCCATGAGGCACAGTCCTATCACCCTGTGGGACACAGTCCTCAGCATCTTCCCCTCCATAGGTTCACAGCCCTCAGTGTCCCTGCCATTCTGGGGGATACAGCCCCCTCTGTCTCTCCACCACCCCATGCTGGCACAGCCCTTGGTGTCCCTACCACCCCAGGGGACACAGCCCTCAGCACCCCCTCCCAGGAGGGCCACCCCCATCACCTCTGCACGCTTGACAAACTCCTCGGTGGCGGCTTCAGCGTTGTCCCTCTGCCCACGCCAGGCGCTGAGCGCCGACGCCTGCAGCGCCCGCCCGTAGGAGAAGGTGAGGGCCCATGGCCGCACCAGTGGGCACGTGTTGATGGCATTGAGGTTGATGGAAGCCTCCTCCTCACTCTGACCCCCAGACAGGAAAGTGACACCTGCAGAGAGCAGGGTTATGGCACTGGGCGGGGGGACGCAGGCCATCTCCCTCCTGGTCCCTGCCACATCCCAGGGCTGGTACCTGGCACGGCTGGGGGCACAGTGCGGCGCAGAGCGGTGACAGTGGCCATGGCAATCTCCTCAGGGCTGTACTTGGTGGGGCAGGAGTGACCGGGGGTCACCATGTTGGGCTTCAGCAGGGTCCCCTCCAGGTAGACATGGTGATCACTCAGTGCCTTGTAGACAGCTGCCAGCACCTGGGGAGGATGGGCAGTGTGGAGTCCCCCCAGCAGGACACAGCACAGCATGGTGCCCACCCTGCTGCCGCCCCACCACTCACCTTCTCTGTCACATACTGGCACCGCTTGAGATCGTGGTCACCATCAGGCAGGATCTCTGGCTCCACGATGGGCACGATGCCGTTCTGCAAACAGCAGGCAGATGCCATCACGGTGATGTCCCTGGGCATCCCCCAGCCCCATGGCTGTGTGGGACAATGCCCATATCCAAGGAGTGATGCTCACCCCCAAGGCTCAACACCAAAACCCTTGCCAGCGATGCCCAGCCCCACGGGGGATGCCCATCCCTGGGAGGGTCAATTCTTGACCCCATGGAGCAATGTCTCTTTCTGTGAGGTGATGCCCAGCCCCACAGAGCAATGCCTGGCCCCATGGACTGATGCCTGATCCCATGAGTGATGACCACCCCACGGGGCAATGCCCAATAACCCACGTGAGGTGTTACCTAGCGCACGGGTCGCATCCCGCCCCACCCATGGGATGATCCCCAGGGGTCATCAATGCACACACAGGGTCAATGCTGAGCCTCACGGATCTGTGCCCGCCTCCATGGGGCAATACCCGCCCACACAGGTTAATACCCATCCTACAGGTCACTGCCCACCCCATGGGGCGATGCCTGGCCCCACACACAGACCTGCTGGCAGATGCTGGCGTAGCGGGCCAGGACGTTGGCGTTCTCCATGATGGCGAGCGCGGAGGGGGTGTGCTCGCTGATCTTCAGCACGCAGCGCCACTTGGCAAAGTCAGCCCCATCCTTCTTGTACTGGGCACAGCGCTCCCACAGCCCATCCAGACCTGCCGGGCAGTGCGTCAGCCCCACAGCCCCAAACCCATGGCCCCAGACCTCCCGGCCCCAGCCCCATCCCCTGCCCGCTGTACCTACCCTGCGTGGTGGTCTCGCCATCTGTCCCAGCCAGTGGCACAACACCCTTGTCCACCTGTGGAGTGAGGGGAAGGCGGTGCTGAGCCCCCGCCAGCACCCTCCAAGCACCCTCAGCACCCCACAAACCCACCGGACATCCCCCCACACCTTGATGCCCACAACGATGCCCTTGTCCTTGATCATCTGGACGAAGGGGGTGCCATCATCAGCCTTCTGGTACATGGTCTCGTGGAAGAAGATGACCCCCCCGATGCATTTCTTCACCCGGCTGTCGGCGCTGAAGAGGATCTGGCGGTACAGCCGGCGGTTCTCCTCCGTGTTCTCCACTCCAATCTGGTTGAGGCGCTTTGCCATGCTCCCTGAGGGCACCCAACAACCTCGTCAGCCTCCAGGGTGGGGAAAAGGGGTGGCGGGGCAGATCCCCCCTTTCCCCAAACTGACCTACGGACTCATCGGCTGCCAG